CTCGGGGCAGGCCGCCGCCGTGTCGGCGCCCAGGCTGACTTTTGCTTAATCCTTTTTAAAACCCACGCGTGACCGGAGATTCTGATTTTCGGTTTAATTTGCGGGTTTTCTTTTACTTCGAGGGAAGGGTGTTAGCCCTTCTACATACTTGGCGAGAGTAATTCCAAACTTCTAATAACTAGCTGGAGGCTGCGTGGATCCCATTGTAAACACTGTCAGTGAGGCTTCTTGTGGGTACGGTGGTGAGGCATCAGTAGCTTTGTGTTTCTGGAGGGACAAACAAGATGTGTGTCATATAGCTGATTACCTTAAAAGTATTAGAATAAATCTTTACGCTTAGCCTGGCAATAGGGTGTCCTGTAATATATTTAAAGTCTTTATTAGTATTTAAGCACTTTAAGTCTGCGCGCCATGGTTCTTTGTTACTCCTTAAGTAGGCTCTTTACCATGCATTCATGTTTTTCATCGGCAGTCTTATAATAATTCTTTGTCTGAGCTGTCTGGGACTTGAAGGGAACACAGACTTTCTCAGAAACACACAGGAAGATGTGGAAACGCACAGAATCTGTGCAAGCAATGAGTAGGGTTTGATACATTGATTTTTTCCTGGGTGAAATTGAATCAGAGTTCATGCTTTCAAGTGTAATGGTTGAGAGCATTGAAGTTTTGACCTGTTATGACAACAGTATGGGTGAGCTGATGTATTTTGTTGTCAAAATGTTTGTGCTGCAGGAGGGAAGGTCAGGATGGAGGCGGTGATCACAGTTGTTTGCCTTGACATTGCTAGCGTAGCAGTCCCATCGCAGCCTGGCAGAATGTTCTTTTTTGTGGCATTGACACTGATGAAGGGTGGGGCATTGGTAACCTCAGGTGTTCAGGCAAAGATAAGTGCTAACACATTGGTCATTGTATTAATAGAAACCACAATGCATTGCCTCAGTTTCCTTTGTTCCCAGTGATATGTTAGATCGATGTGGTAAGAAAACTGAACCGGTGGGATTGTAAATCCTCATCAGAATGCTGCTGCTGTTGATGATGTTATTCAGCTTACGCATTTCTGGCTTTTTTTCCTTTTGAGGTGGGAGTTGATTTGACTTTTGTGCTCAGTGCTTTCTTAAATAATTTTTTTCCTTCCCCCCCCCCCTTTTTTTTCCCTTTCTCTTATTTTAAGCCAAAATTACTGTGAACAGGTCAGGAAAGATTGGTATAAAGCCTTTTCCTTCAGATAGATTTAGTAGCTAGGTTGAACACATCTGGACTTGTTGCTGTCATGCTTCTAATTGCTTTTGAAAATCTTATAATAATAGTTATCAGGAAGAGGTTGATTATCTTTGTATTCCTCAATGCCTCCCCCACAGTATTTTAGGTACTGTCATGGTGGATTTTTTCCCTCTGCTCTTACACTTCTTTTTCATCCTACCAATAGAGGACTATGGCCCTTCAATGTTTTCTGCCTGTCCCAAGTAGGGGGGAAGGAGGAGAAAGTTACTTTCCTTTTTCCCACCAAACTCAGTTTTGTCTGTCTTGCCTTCTGTCTAGGTAAGAGATACTGGAATATTTCTGAAGCACTATCACATGCAGATTCTAATTGTTGGAAGAAAAAGCAGTGTTTTCTATCTTTATGTCCTCAAAGCAGCAATTGTTGCAAAATTTGCCATAATATTTCTAACAAGTTACAATTCTCTTCCTAGGTCTTACCCGTAAAAAAGCATCTAAGCTCTTTTTTTTGAGATCTTTCCAAAGCGGAGGAGGGACAGAAGTGGTCCACGTTTGACAATCTCTGCTGTTTGTCAAAGTGACAGTATAAAACCAGATACATCCCCCTAGCATCAGAGATACTGCAGCTGCCTGCCTCTGCATTTACAGCACAGCGTTGGTTTTGTGCTTTGTTCACATATGGCAAGACAAGGCCATGTGTGTTAGAAAGCTGTACGTTTCTGAAACAAAAATGTAGATTCAGCAGAAGGGTGATAGCACACACTGGAAAATTATGGATCCTGGAGAAGTAGATATTTCTAGCTGTGATGAAAATTGATGTCGCAAGTAAGTGTAAACAGACAAGAACCGTGTACAAAATACTGCAGAATACTAGAGTGCTTTTGCAAATGTGTCAGCTTTCTTTTTAGCATATATTACTTTAAAAGTAAAAAAGAATAAGAAGTTAATGATTGATAACGAAAACCCAGTTTTACAAAAAAATCTAAAGTTTATGACCCATGTAATGTGCTTGATGAAGAAACACTTTTTGTACTAAGTCCGTTATACTAGCATAGAGTGAGACATGGTGCTATGATATCGCAGTAAAGCCATTCTGGGCACCTGGCCACAGCAGAGCAGCTTGCACTGCGTTAATAGAATGGCTTCTGTGTATGCTGGAGTGCCTCTATTTGAGAAAATAAAGACCTTGCTTCGGGGAGAACAGTCACCTCTGATCAAAAATAGGAAAATGTTGTTTAAATTAATATAGCAAGTGATTATATATATGTCATGATATTAAAGAAATATCAACTACCTTTGCTGTATATGCTAATGGAAAACAGTCAATGTGAGTGACAACGGCGTTAGGTGTGAAACAAAAATAGATTATCTTTATTTTTCTTAAATCTTTGTTTTAGAACAACTTTGTAGTATCAGAACAGATGAATCTGAACACAGTATGGTAAACTTGAGGTTTGATCTCTTAATCCTTGTTAATGGAATATTCTCAGATTGATCCTAAGAGTTTACTCTCTTCACGGTTGTTATTAAAGCTGTGTTAGGTCACACTGTTTAAGAAATGGATTTTTTTTTTCTGTAGAAACAGATGAAAAGTGCTCAAGATGCTGGGAAATGCATTTTCCTCCCTTTATACATTTTTTTTATTTTTTGTTTCCTGGTATTTTCAAGTGCATCTTTGCTTTATCTCATTCATCCCAGCTAAAATTTGTCTGTTTAGTCTTCTATATAAAATTGATCTCCTCCTACTTCTCTTCCTTACCAGCATTTTGACCGATGTGCTTGATGATTGATTCTATCTGATTAATTTTCTTCATTTCATTCCTCTAAATGCAAAATATTCTCACTTCTGAGATTTTTCTTCCATCTCTGTACTTACTTGTTTTCTGATGTAACTGTGGGTTTTTTTCCTTCAGTCTGTTGGCTTGTGGTTTTTTTTTTTCTCAAAATACCGGTGATAATTCTTGCTAGTTTCAGCGAGGTCCGTCAACAGTGATAAAAAGTGGGAGTGTTTTTATCGGCCTTGCTGCCTGATAAAATAATAGAGTGTGTATGCGAACGTCAGTGCTTGCCGCCGTGTGTTGGGATGTCGGAGGTGGCTTGACTGACAGCGCGGCATGATGTGAAAGCTTGCACCTAGCTTCAGTGGCACTTACCTGAAACGTGTTGCCTTTGGAACACTGTGTTCAGTTAACAATTTCAGTAACTGCCCAAAACCAGACCACTTGAAAACCTTATCTGAATCCAGCTTCTGCTATTTGCCATTGGTCTAAAAACTGAGTGAGGGTGGCCTTCGGGTAGCAAAGTCTACTTGCATATGGGAGGCGGGTGGGCTGCGGATGAGCAGGGGTGGGAGCAGGCACTGCAGGACGGTCAGGCGTTCTCCAGCTGAGAGCGGGTATGGACAACAGGGATGGTCCACCTTGGGGCAAGGGCTGGGCATGAGGGACCAGCAGCAAAGAGAAAGCCCATGGCGCTGTTCCAGTGTAATGATTTTGTCTCGCCTCAGCTAATTCTGTCCCTCCTGGTACATGTGAAACAGGAGTATTCAGGTACTGTTCTAAGTACAAAGAAAAGATTGTGGGGACAGTGTAAGAGCAGATAGAGCACCCTCCTGGTGATGTGGGAAGAAGGCACAGGGTTGGCCTAAGAACAGTTAATGCACATGTAGCCCCTGGTATGAATTTTTAAGGCTTTAGCAGAATTCCATGAAGTAGAGAATGAAGAAAAGTTGAGGCAGGAACTGTGAAAGTGCCAGGGAGGTGCTTCTGATGAACACACCTGACATACACCTACTGCAGTATGTGCAATGGTTTCAGAATTAGTAACTGTTAGGTGGAACACACTGGCAAGGGCAGGCACAGCAGACCTTCCTGCTCTCACCCTTACTGAAACTGGGACCAACCAAACTCTGATAGTTTAGTCAGCTTTTGATTTATAATCTGTGACTACATCAGACTAGTCCTGTGTCTTGGTTTTGGAATGTACTTAAGGCCAAGCCTGTTATAAAATGGAACAAACTTTTTAGAAGATACTCTGGTTCGTTTGTACCAATGATAGGGTCAAAACCTCTGGACATAAAGGCTTATTACAGTTGAGGAAAGAGCTACTTCATCAGGATTTACTATCTATTACCCAAGGAAAAGCATTTGTTAAATCAAACTTTTCATTAGCCTCTCATCACATGCAACTGAGTCTTACTTTTCTCTACTTACTCATATTGAAAGACACTTAAATAAATATAAGCTAAGTGAATATATTAAATATTTTTCCGAGTGTTTTTAAGAAAGCAGTTACAGTAGTTTCCAAAAGCTTTTGCTAACAAATGGAAGAAAAACTGAGACTTGAGATAGTGAGTAAAAGATGATAAAAGGGAAAGAAAACTCTGGAATTTATTAGGAAAGTGTTGTATCTGTAATAATTTGTCACAGGAAGTTTTCTGATATTGTGAATTCAGATGAGGAGTTCATATTCTTTCTCAGTTGAGTGTAGTGAATTAATCTATACTAATTCAGACAGATCATGGGGGACGGGCGGTCAAAACGTTTAGATTTTAAATGTCTGGTTTACTTAGAAAAAAATGTACTTATGAATATACACACATTTATTGCTAACTTCAATTTTTTTTTTTGTAGCTAATTGAATGGGTCTTCAGAAGAGGAGTTGCTAAAACTGACAGAAAAGTAAGTATGTGAATGATCGTTGTTTTTCACAAAAACATATATCTGACTTAGTGCTACCTCTGTTTACAGTTAATAAACTTTTTTTTCATGTTGGTTCTTAACATCTGTAATAATCAATATTTTTATATAGCCTCATAAGTCTATTTCCAGTTAAGTGTTTTTATTTTGTGAAAGTAGATAATGTTGTGTATTTCTCCTTCTGAATATAACCTGCTGTTTATTTTTCTTATTGATTATTTTTAATAGCTAGAACTGCCATTGTGAAGGGAAACTGAAAAATATAATTCTAGCAATTTCTTATCTATTTTCAAGGATGTATAGTATGTAATTTGTCACCTTTATAATCATCAGAAAGGTTTCAGCTCCTCAAGTTTGTGTTGTCTAACATGACATGACTAGAATCTCTTATGGTGATAGTTTATTTCCACCTGTATTTAGTTACTAATTTCGACTTTGAAAGTCACCTTTCTCTGGAAAGAGGAATTTTTGTGTTCTGCTGGCTCTCAGTTTAGAACAGGAAAAATCTGCATGTGTAGAATGCATTTCATTTACGTATTCAAAATGCAGAGCTTTACTAACTGAATGATGTGTTTTAACCTCTTTCCATATAGTTGAGATGATGAAATAATTCAAAGTTATTTTATTATATAAAGTAGAAATTCTTCAATCTAATAAATAGGAGTTGAATGCTTTTTTAAAAGGAGTCCTCTCTTTTTAGCAGAGCAATATCAAAATTGCAATAAGGTATGTGTGTATGAATTTATATGTACAGCTGGTATTTGCAATATGCATATATTTCAATAGAGCTGTTTATAGTATCTGTAAGTCCTGTAATTATAGTGATTATACTGCACTAATTTCCAGTTGTTCAGTTGTTCTTGTGCATGCCGTGAGTTGTTTTTGCATAAAGTCCGTTAATTACTTCTATAACTAGGTAGACTTTTAAAACGGCTGATAAAAAAAAAAAAGTGCATGTACAGGGCTTGTGCATAATATATCATATTGGGAGAAGTCCAGGAACCTTTATATCTATGCTCACTATCCTTTCATTTATTCATAATGAGTCTGGTTTTGGCTAATAGGATTTTTATTGTCATTAGTGGCATATCGAAGAGATGAAATGTGGTCTGAAGGGCGATACGATTATGAAAGAGTTCCAAGAGAACGTCTCCCTCCAAGGATTCATCCTGATGTAAGTCTATAGTATGTTTCTTTAGCATTATACTGTTACACTATACCTTTATACCATGACTTGTACCATAAGGGATGGACTTACGTACATATTTAAGTTCCTAGTATACCCCAAGTTCCATTCTTTTCTCGTTCATTTAAGCCAACAATCTAGCAAATGCATCTGCACAGAGATAATAGGATGCCTACAAAATTAAACCTTGGTTTTTTGGCTTAGGGTTTGGTTTGTTTTTTTTTTTTTTCCAAATCTATTGAAAGTGTTTTAGAATATTTGTATTTGATAAATTGATTTTTTTGCGTAATTCTTTGTGTTATTAAACACAGGATTTTTAATAACTTCTGGAGAACCAAAGGCCATACTATGTCGTGTTTTTCCTCAGGCTTTTTTTTTTATGTTAATACATCTTTGAAGTGATTTGAGGTGGTAAAATGACTACGTGCAGTATTGTTCTTGTCACCGATGCAGTTTTTTATTATGAAGCCTAAAGTATAGAAGGAAATGTTTATAACAAATGTTGAAAATACGTCTTTGCTAAAGAAATTGTGTTTTGGAGCCTTGTAAGGGAAATGCTTATCAAGAAAAGTGTCAATGGAAACCTACTTTGTAAGCATGGAAACTTCTACTGTATATTATGCTTATAAAAGCAAATGCAGAAGCTATGCTTACTCTGCTGTAAAATATTTTTAGAATGCTTTCAGAAGATCTTGATGCCAGAGTTGGGTAAATTTTTTTTTTTTCTCCTGTGTTTGAAGTCTCTAAAGAAGAAGACAGGTTGTAGCTTTTTTTTGAGCTATTACACCTCAAGTAAAACTTTAATAATACTTTAGATATTTCTATTTACATGCTGTGCAATGTGTGTTTGGCAAAATAAAATTTCGGGTAACCGCACCTGTTATTTGGCTTTTCTTTTAGTGCTTTTAAATGTTGGAATAATAGTGTAGCTGATTTAGCATACTTTCTGGTTTCCCTCTACCATGTTTTCTGCTTGTCATTTTGGAAGCGTACCAGTTTTGGTAACTTGGTAACTAGTTACGTAGTCTTCTTTGTTGGGTAAAGTATTAGTGTTTGGCTGCTCTGTGACATTTTAAACTCTCTTTACAGGCAACAACAAAATTTCTGCATTTTCAGCAAACTGGAAATCAGATAAGTTTGCACAGGGTATTTAGCCGCTTCTCCAAAATACTTATCAGCAATAGGACATGAGGAAAGGCAGAATATATTTTCACAGATTTTTATTTTTTTTAATCAACGTTTGACTTGACTTACACATTGCTAATTTAATTTAACTGTTGCAACAGTGACATTCCTAAATTCCTTTAGTCTTTCAAGCTGTCCAAGGAATAATGCATGGCATATGCATTATGAAAATTTACTTTAAAAGAAGTAATGCACTCATTTTGATGCAAGAATTAACTAGATAGTTCAGTGCTAGCTTTATATTACATGTGTTTGAAACTGGGGATGAAGGGACTAGTAGAATACATTCATTTATCACAATCAGTACTATCTATCTGCACCAAAACAACATCCCCAGCAGTTGGGCAAACCAAGATCTGGTGTCTGTCTGCCTTACTGGAAGATGGATATGAAGCTCCTTCTTGTACAGCTCTGATGATTCAAGATAGTTGGCAGGCAGTGTGTGTCCTTGTAAGCCTGTGCCATTGTATCTGTGTCTATGTACAGAGATTTGACTTAATTTTGACTAGACAAGTAAAATGGAATCAATTTTGTCACTGTGGACATGCTTAGCATTTGCTGATAGGTTAGTGCATTGGAACTGAGACATGCCAATGATACAGAATGAAGTATCAGTTGTTTGAGAGAGCAAGAAACTTAGCCTAATCTAAACCGGGTGCTAATTATATGTCAAGTATAGACTGTAGTAGAAACACATGCTTTCAGATCCTGGTAAACAACATAAAGTTGCGAGCACTTGGCACAATTAATAGTAAGTGGGTACAGCTTTTCTGTAACTATCCTGTATGTCAGTATAGTTATATATATATATATGTGATGGGGACTTCTGGGTGAGGTTAAAGCACAGAGCAGTTTTATTTTGGCTTCAGAGCACATCTTTGTAAGACACCAAACTAAAAAAAAATAAAAAAATGCATGTGGAGGATGTCCAATGAGGTAAGGGTAGATCAAGCATTGTGGCTGTGTATGAATGTGTATGTAGGTCTCTGCTTTGCATCAGTATGGCTGTAGGCTAGCTTTGGATTGCCCTCTAGTGAATTTGTTGGGTGGTCTCTGAAATCAGAACTAACTTTTTTTTGCATGACAATATTTAGCAGTTTGTGAATTTAATTTATTTTTCTACAAAAACTATTGGTGCATTAGATTGTGACTTCTACTACTATTAAAAAAAACCTAGTTTGAGTGTCTTTCTCCCCCTGCAAATTACACATGCTAACTCAAGTCTCTGCATTTATAGCTTGTTTTTTTAAGGCTCATAACAAAAATATCTTGCTAAATACGAGGTCTTGCATTCATGTTTTCATTTGCTTTTTATTTGCAGTTGGCTTATATAAGACTTGGTTCTAGAAAATTGAATTTGTATCTGTTGCAACTCTGCAATTTGTGCTTAATAAAAAAACCTTCTTTTAATTGGTGAATGCTGTATGACATTTTATTTGAAGGAAATACAATAAATTAATTTTTCATTCTAGCAAAAAGCTATCCGAAACTCACATTAAAAGTAGAAACAGAGTGTTAAAATTTTCTCTGTCACTTGAATCCTCAGATCACCTACTGCGTTGTATTGAGAAGGTGCTTATCTATACAAATTACGAAGCAAGGACTGTCTTCACTATAATCTCTCTAGTGTGGAGGATGTTATTATTGACATGAAGAAAATTGGTAGTATTTTCAAATGGGCTCTTTGTTTTACAGGCATTACAGGTGTAACTTTATTGCATTCCTAAGTTAATATAAAAGTCTCTGATAATTATATGTAGCTAATCCTTAAAAAAAGAAAGTAGCTGATGCTTAAAAAGTAGCTAATGCTACTGCTTTAAACTTTCAACAGGAACTTAGACCATGTAGAAGATTTTTCTCTCCATAATTAAACTTGTAATGCCTAAGGATTGCATCTGAATGGTGTCCAATTAGAATAGTAAGTTATTCTACCATCAGACTAGCATGATTTTTAATGTTTGTTGTTCCCCTGTGCTATTTCAGCTTTAAGATTATAGTCTCATATTTAGAAATAACTTGATGTTTTTACTTTTGTGTATTCGCTACAGATTTCCAGCTGTTAGAAGCAATATGATTTTGTTTGTTTTGTGGTTTAGGATGATTACCATAGAGTAGTAAACGTTGTGCCCAAGAAACCACCACTGCTCGAAAGGCCTGGGGATGGGAATTACAGTCGGTATGATGATTACAGTCACGCTGAGTACAGAGACTATGAAGAGAGTCGCAGTTTTGCCCATGACCGAAGAAGTGGCCCTCCACACCGAGGTGTACGTAAGGTGATTCTTCTCAAATGTTTATGATGTTTATCTTCTCGTTAATGCTTGAATACTGAACAATTACAATATTATTTGAGACAGAGCATTGATGTTACTGCTGTTCTCATAAACTGAAATAGAATGAATAGAAAAAACATCCAGGTTTTGATACTTGGTGATGCTTTTTTGCAGTTACTGTGCTTCTAAGACTCTTGTGATTATATGGTAATACCTGTTTGCTGCTCTTGTGGTTCCTAGCTACTCTGTTGACTTAGAAAAGAGCCTTTGTCCAGCACTGTGGAAAGCTCAGAGTCTGAACGGGGAAAACAAAAGTTGCCAGAAGTCCTCTCTGTAATGCAGTGCAAAATTATCTGGATGAATAGAAGAATGATTGCAAAATCTTTCTATTTAACAAGTCCTTGCACATGCAACTTGTTCAATGTTGTCTACCTATCCTTCTAATTCGTACATTGTTCACTTATTTACATTCTGTCATGATGTCAACTGCATACTTTTTTTTCCCCAGTAGCTACACTTAACTACAAAATTTATGGTACCTTTGAAAGGTCATTACTGTTGCCTCCTCCAACCCAGCTGTCTGAAATTCTGTAATTTCAAGCTATTTATGAAAATTTACATTTCACTGAGGAAAATTTTCTTTCTTTTGAAGTCAGGGCCTATGTATATAGTTTTTGCAGGTTTTGTGTTTTGTACAGCATTTCAAAGTTGCTCTCTTTAGTATTGATAGAGGAAGAACATCAGAGGGATAGGGTAGAATGAATAAGATGAGAGAAACCTTGTTGTGAATGATTAGTAATTTCTTCTAGCTCATTAAAGGCTTTGGGTTTGCAGTAAATAAGTACCATTTGGCAACTAGCTGTACCTGACATCTGATGTTGAGATACACGTCACACAATTGTTTTGCGTGTATGTTTTGCAGGATGAATCAGGGTACAGATGGCCAAGGGATGATCATCCTATAAGTCGGCAGCCTGAATACAGGTATTTTGTAAGACTTTACAGTAGTACCATGCATGGGGTGGGACTATTTACGGCATTTTTCTTTGTTATCAAAAGGGTTTGTAGAGTAGAGCAGTGAAATGGCAGGGGTGTGGGAAAGGACATCTGTTGAAGTAAAAGATGGTCGAGGAAAAGTGGTTTCTAGTTGCATTGTTTGAAATACAAATTAAACAATGGTATGACATGAAAGTCTCTATTTTAGTATTCGTTTAGTAAGGGTAGGAGGCATAATGATAGCATCTTTAGGATGTTAGCCTGGGACTGTAAGTAATTTAGTGCATCTCCCTGATCAGTCACGCTTTTTTCATGACTTCAGAGTATTCTTTGATTTAATACTTGCTTCTGTGACTGCAGTGCCTTGGGGCCACAATACAGTGGAAGGATACCTGCACCATTTTAAAAGTTGGTGGGGTGGGTAATCGGATTATGAAGTTCACTGTAACCTTGTTCTGACCTCCCTGTTTTCTCAGCTGGACTAATGTGTAGATATTTCTGTCATACACTATATTAATTTCTGTGAGCACTTCTTAGATGGGACCCTGAGGTACATACTATGCATACATTTCATAAAATGTAAGGAATAGTAATAAACAGTAGGGCTGTAACATACATAAGCCTGCAATTATGTTTTATATGGGATTTTTCAGTATGATAAATAAAGTGCACAGGATAGTGTTGTACTCAAAATTTATGGACAAGGGCGAAACTCACCTTAAATATTCAGACAAGAATTAATTGTTAGTATAACTGAAATATTAACAGTCTAATCTACAAACGTCATCTCATGACTGTACTTTTATATGCCACATCCTGTGTTTTCACTTCTCAAGGTGTCTGCTATTATATCAGACCTGTATTTCTATATACTGCATCATGGTGTTAGTCATAAATATCTTATTCTACATAGAATAAATTATTGTTACTGCTATCTATATAGAACTATGGTTGTACCGTACAAAGATCAACAGAAGTAAATCAAGTTAGCTATAGACACCTGGTCAGTTAGAAAAATTGCTGTTAAACCTGCACCAAGTTAAAAAAAAAAAAAAAGACAACTTTAGACAGGTCAGGGAAAGCTCAGACAGGGCAAGCTTGAGGCTTTGCAAACTCAATATGAAGCTGTTAGTAGCAATGGCAATACAGTGCCACAGGGCTACGCAGTTGCAGTAGATGTCTATTCCTTTGAATGTGATGATTTAGACATAACATAGCTAGGTTATTACACAATTTCACCATAAAAATCATCCTTCATATACCATAAGGGTCTGTGTGCACTAGACTTCTCTCAAAATTGCATTCTTGGGGCTAGAAGCAACTGTAAAGGGTTTTGAAAAGTAGTAAGTGTTTTATAGAAACTTTTGTAAAAATTCTTCCATCTTTTCCTCCCACTTCAGAAGGATCAGAGTTGTTTAAAGCTGGAAAAAAAAAAAGACTGAGAAGACTGAGTTAGTGCCAGGCAATTTATTTTACACAGAACAAGAGTGGCACCCAGTGGTCAAAAAGGTTTTTAAATGCATCCTGATTTCTTCCATTTAAAATGTGAGGATAAAATGTCAGCTCGTTTTGTTGAAGGCTTTAAAAATGTGTGGCATGGTAGGTGATAGTCCCATCTGAGTCTTTGTTATATATTTCAGAATATGTATACTGTTATACAACTGCAATAACACTATGGAAGAACTTCATAAAGATACTTAGTTCAGTTGAGGGTATGGGAATGTATTTGCAATTGAATGAAGCCCTACTGATTTGTTATATAAATATGCATTAGCATGTCAGAAGTCTGATTGTACAGAAGAGCACAGGAATAGTAAATAACCTTGGATGTAAAATCCTGTGATCAGACTGCTAAATGCTTGTAGCATTACATGCTTTGTAATAAACTTAATTATGATTATTTTGCATATTGCTTGCTACTGATTACAAGTACAGTACTTGGTATATGTTGTCTCCTGTGATGAAAACGCTAATTACTTTCTATTTTAAAGACATTTGTACTATAAAACATCAGATTAAAAGATTATTAACATGCAAAAATGCTTTCTCTATGGATATGATGAAAGTTATTTTGGGTAAGTTCTTCTGGATTGCATATAAATAATTTTTTTTTATTTGAAGTAGTAGAAGGAGATTTAAGATTACCTTAACTAGGAGCACTTTTTTAAAAATTGCATGGAACATGGCTAAAATGTAGTACAAAGTTAGATTTGTAAAGCTAAAGACACTCAGGAGACTTGTAAAGTTAATGGGTTTTCGTAGTCAGTACAGTGACTATAAATTCTAAAAAGAATAGCTCTTTTATTGACATAAATGATCAGTTTTCCTGAGTATTTTTAAAAACTCATTCAGCAGCTAAAAATGTGCTGTAAGAAGTTGCTGTCTTTAGCATTTTCTCTTAAGCATTAATCATTCACATTTTCCTGATTTGATCTTTGGCAATTTAACTGTCAAAACGTGGTTTCTGTTTTTATACTCTTCCCATTTTTGTTCCCCCTATCTTTCTTTGGAGTGCTGAAAAAACATTACTCGAGATTCTCCCAAAGTAAAAGAAGCTGCTTATCTGGAATATCAGAAACCCTTAAATGATGCAGAATTTGCGGGGGTGAAAGTTTACTACACTGAAGAAACCAGCTGTTGGGTTTTTTGAGTGGGTTTTTTTGTTGTTGCTGTTATTTCTTCAGTGGATTTTTTTTTTCTTAAGTGTCTTACCTTTTCCTTAAAAATAGGAAGGGCTTGCTTACTTAGCAGTCGCTTAGCTGTGGCTTGAGCTGTGATGTGTCTGATGATCAGCAGCAATTCTCCGTGAGTGACGAGAGGATTGTAGAGGTTCTATCACTAGGCTTAGCTGTCTTTTTTTCTTGCCTTCTTACTTCTTATGGAGTTATGCTTCAATTTCTGTAAAAAAATAAAGTAATTCAGAGGATGTGATGGACATAGATTTCAAAATGAGTTCCAAGCCCTTTTTATCTTGTTCTGACCTAAGGGACGGATTTCTGACCTCCAGGAACTGATGTGATTGTGTAACCTTACAGTCATAGCTTGGTTTGAAGTGCCTCTTGGTTCAAGTCTAGTTGGCATGTATAAAGAATTGTACATCAAAGCAGAATCTCTTAGTTTGGAGAACAGAGAATTTTCTGCACACATGATGATTGTTTTAATGTCTTGGTTGCTGATGCTATAAGAATTACGAAACTTGGAAATTATGAGAGGAGTAGAGATCAAATAACACATGACTTCTTTCTACATTTATCTTTTACTGATGTTGAACACTTCTGGGGCTGTGTTACTACTTGTCTTTAGTGATATATCAAACTCATTTATTCAAAGCACCCAAATTATTTTATGCAGATTTTTTGAAAAGTTGCAGGGAACTGTGCTGTTATATGTTGAAGAACTCCAATTTTATAGTGCTTCTGTGTCGGCCTCAGCAATGGATTTTGCACACAAGTTCATTTTTATAAAGTCAGATGAACTTTTCAGTGTGAAATACTTTAGAAGATTGTTAGCTGCTGTTCACTTTAGTCATACCAAATTTTAATCCTTTTGAGTGCACAGAGCATTACTTCACTCTTTTTTTTTCAGCCAAACGGAGTTAATAAGATGTGAAATACGTGAAACTTGGCAACTTAAGATGGGTAAGACTCATCTTCAAAGAGAAATTACAGGATGACGCATTTGTAAATCCCAGCTATACATGCATTAAATTTGATCCTTAAAATTATCTGAGGTCCAGATTTTTGTAAAATAAAGATTGCCATATTTGTAGACAAAGTACTATGCATCAGTAGTAAGGTTGGTTCATATAATACAGATTCCCAAGAAGTGGCTCACATAGGACATTTTTAATATCTCCCTTCAGGTAGTTGATATGAGTAAGTTTTCCTTTGTTAATGAAGGAAACGTGCTGCTATTATGTGTTTTGTTTTGCTTATTGGTTGTCGGTTTTCTTTTTCCCATGTCCTGTGTGAAATTAGGAAGTAGTCTTAGTCCAGCCTTTAATACTAATGCATTCATATATATAAACCAGATCTGTTTATCTGTGGAGTGCACAGGTAATATTTTGTAATAAATAGAAATAATAAAGTAACTTCACTAGAAATGAAAGAAAACTGTCTGGCAAAATGTTGAAACTTAATTTTAAACAATTGGTGATCTGTGAACAACGAAGATTCATCAGTCACTTCTATATTTTGTTTTGGAAATCTTTTAAATCAATGGCACGTGGCCTTTCCTCTGAAATTCTTACACAGCTTTCTGAACATTAAGCTTGCAGTTATCTCTTTAGGGTGCTAAAGCATAATATACCCCAGTTTTTGTAGATGCATAACCCTTCACAGTTTACGTGTGTTTACTGAAGGCCATGGAGAAAATTGGTAGCAAAGGGGGGGATAGAAGCCTTGCAATTACAGCTTTCTGATCTCTGCTTGAACTACCCTTCTATTTGGTGATTAACGCCTTGCAGGTGCAGTGTGTGATGACAGGATGTTCTAGAGGAGTGGTCTGAAGATTGTACATTAGGAAGGAAATTGTTCTTTGGCAAGAATGGTTATTTTAAACCAAAGCCATTGATGAGAGAGTCTCCAGATAGAAGTTAAGGGTCACTGACTCTTCTCTCCATAAAGCAGGATTTAATATTGAGGGTTCAGCTGTGTCATAGGCCGAGGCAGTTATCTTTACATTATCACTGTGCAATCACCTCTGAATTACAGGGGGTACCTCGTCTCTTGTTTTTTCCCCTTCCCTGTATTTATTCTTTAATGAATGAAACAATGAACCTGTTTAAATATTTTATACTCATTTAAAACAGTGTATTATATTGTGGGAGGTCTTTAGGCTTTGAATTTATACTTTCTTGTAATGTAAACTGATCTTTGTCTTGCTTACAGAAGAGAAACTTAGCCAAAGGGATTTATGAGATGGTGCTAAAAATGTATGTAAGCCTGCTGTTCTGTTGCAATATTGGACAAGTCTTAAGGGATACCCTA